AATAAAATACACCCAGCACGCCTGAATATACTTATAAATGTGTTTTCAATAAGATATACAACAGTTTTTTTTTTATTTATTGTTTGTTATAACTAAAAATTATATAAAGCTTAACTTAAAACAAGATTCCCTAAGAAAGGGTGTTTCCCTATCTTTTAATACTTTCTTTATTACTTAAAGAATCACTTAAACCCTATTTCAGATAGGTAGTTAGTTCCCTTCTTTTTCTTCCTAAGTAATTATCGTTGTATATTTAAAAACAAAATCTTTCGGGCTGAAACCTCCCTCCAAAAACTAAACCCTGGATCCATCAGTGGGCTACTCTACAGTGTGAGAGAGGTCCAACTATTAAAATTCCTGACGTTGGAAATTTCGAGTTGCACCACTCGAAATATAACGATTTGGTTTGATTTGATGTTATTTAAGAATATTTCACCTAAAATATAAACGTACACATATAAATATAAAAACACTGTCAAAATAGTATCTATTGTGATCATTTTTGTTGATCATTATTGAGCTGTGATAAGTTTCAAAGATAATCAGAACAATATTCTGAAAATAATTATAAATATATATAAATACAGGTCAAATGCGATTACTGATTATTGTGAGTAACAAGTACGCATTTACTTTCTAGGAAATCAGATTTCACAAAATTAAAATACCGTAGCTAAAACTGTGATATATTTCGAAGTAGAAGTCAAATTGATTTTGCCGTTTATTCTATTAACTCCCTATCTTCCCCTCAGTAGCATTTAACAGTTTATAATAGTATTTTAGGTAGTATGTTTCGAGTTCGTGATGGCCGAACGTGTTAAAGCGTAAACTTTAACATTCTCCATTTTAAGGATGCCGGTTTGAATCCGACCTAGGCGGGTTGAAATTTATTTCGTGATGGGCCCACGGAATGAATCTTGATCTTCAGACTCTGGTTAGAATAGGTTTGGTTGTACCTCTAGAACAGGTAAGAAAAAAGTGGTATACAAACTACAGCCGAATCATGCCCGCGAAAGTTTCCTATATCATATGCTAAATTTTTAAAACTATTTAAAAATATTAGTCAAGCCTTTGATAAAGTTTGGCATGAAGGATTGCTTTCCAAACTTAAAATTTTTCTTCCTCCGACCTACTATCTAATATTACATTCATATCTAACGGATAGACACTTTGTAGTAAAAGTAGGGACAGAATGTTCTAACATTAAACCTATTAAATCAGGAGTACCTCAGGATAATGTCTTTGGACCAATATTGTTTAATATATATATGTATGACTTACCGGAACACAATGACACAATACTGGCTACTTTTACAGACGATACCGCAACCCTAAGCTCTGAAAAAAAAACCCTGTTCGAGCATCTACTACTCTTCAAAATCATCTGAACGATATTGCAGATTGGGCAACAAGGTGGAAAATTAAGATGAATGAAAAAAAAAGTGTGCATGTAGTATTCATTTTAACCATAAACCTTCCCCTGAAATATATTTTCATAAGATTAAAATCCCAACATCAGATGTAATTAGGTATTTAGGTTTTACAAAAGACTTACTCGGAGGACTCACATCAAACAAAAACAAATAGAATTAAACAGACGATACGGTATTTTATCCAGATTACTTGACAGGCGTGCAAAATTATCTTTAACTAACACTTTATAAAGTTTTGCTTGAACCTATTTGAACTTACGGCATAGAACTGTGGGGGCTCTTCTAAAACTTCCAACATTAAAAAAGTTCAGTCCTTTCAGTCAAAAGTGTTGCGAAGGATAGTTGACGCACCGTTTCATGTCGCAAATGATACACTACATAAAGACTTAAACGTACCTACAATTTTAGATACTGCAAAAGATAACTACAATAACTTTCACCAAAGACTGACGTACAACATGGATCCCCCTGACAGAAATGCTTCATCTCACAAGAAACCCGTACAGCCCATTATGACGATTACGTAGGCGTTGGCCAAGAGACTTGCTGATCTGATTTATATTCCGGACGTGATGGGAAGATGTGAAGCTGCCAAAAAATTTGCTCATTGCAAAGAAATCTGCAGATTGCAAATTTAATGTAATATTCTACATTTTTTGCTTGGTTAATAAATAATAATATTTCATATTATTAATCACGCCTTGTTGATGTTTTCACTTGGTCTAAAGAACACACTTCAGTTTTTTTTATTTAAAGGTTGTCTTCTCTTGTGTACTTATTTATCGTTGAGTCATTTTAATATTAAAAAAATCAGCTGGTTCTATTTGTTTTCAATATAGTGCTATATATTCGAGACAACAAAGTAATATATAATTTTTAATAGAATGCAAACGGAAAACTAAAAAAAAAAACCCTAAGTTTCTTAAATACTTCTAAGCAACTAACTAGTAAATGTTTTAACAATTCACTTGTTTCTTTTTTCTTTTTGATCACTAGTTTTACTAAACAAAAAACAATTCATTTGGTTTTTTGTTTTGTTTTTTGAAATTCTTACTTATTCTTATTATTTTATAGAAATAACGTTTCAGTCGTATCGTCAGGAAAGAAGAGATAAGTTACCACATATGCATACCAAAAACATCATCAAAACTTTTTGGCAAGAGGCCCCTCGAATCGAATTATAGTTTTATGTTTTTTTAATTATAAGTTATTAAATTTAGTTTCTAAAGAAGGATTTAAAAAAAAGCTAACAAAAAAAATACATATTATTACTCGCTGATGTACCCATCGTTGACGGGTGTGTAGTTAAAATTTGAGCATCTTTTTTTGAAATGGATTTTATATTATGGAGTCCAAATTCAATTTCATAAAATTGAGTCGGGAGAGGGGAGATGGGTTGTTTTGAAATTTTTATGGCGGGGCTTATGGAAGTCAAGGTTTCTCAATAGTCATAACATAAACTTTGTTATTCAGCTATTTGTTTAGGTACCACACAACTAAATCGACCACCACCGATCCATAAAATTTGTTAAGTGTTTAATTTTCATTTATGATTAAGCGAGGAGATTGTGGAGTCAATTAATTAATTAAAAAGAGTTGTAGTCCAGATATCCAGACAGACAATTTTTTTTTTAAAACTAGATTTGGTGCCTATAATGTATAAAAAGGAAAGATATCATGAAACAGGTTGATTCTATTCAATGTTTTTTTTTTTTTATTTATTCATGATATTTACAACTGTATCAAAAAATTAAATACATTAAGTAAATTTGATAACAGAAAATAATAACATGAAATGACTTGTTGAGATATGTATTCAATAAGAGTGTATTTACAATAAGAGATCTCGAGGCCATCTTCTTTTCAGACGCCTCGGTGGGTTATCAGGAATAGAAGAGGAAGCAAGGTTAGAGACGAGAGGATTCGGATGGTTCTGAAGTTTATTATGGAAGGATTGGTATCTGGATTGGGCCAAATCGGAAACATAAGGAACATTAAGGTCATTATGGATTATTTTATTGGTGACAAAGTAAGGAGCATTGAGGATTTTCCGAAGGATTTTGGATTGTAAGGATTGGATACGAGAGGAATTCGATGGCTTAGTGGAGCCCCAAAGCTCAACTCCGTAATTCCAAATAGGTCTTATTGTAGTCATGTATATAAGTCTTTTGTAATTAACTGGAAGCTTAGAGCGTTTGTCTAGTAAGTGTTGGAGTAGTCGGAAACGTCGAGCGGTTTCTTGTCGTTTCAGTCTGGTATGAGGATTCCAAGTTAGACGTTTGTCCAAGTGAAGTCCAAGGTATCGGATTTGTTCAACAGGGATAAGTGGGGTATTATTAAAGGATACTGTAGGACATGAAGCCATAGGTTTACGTCGAAGGGTAAAGATGATTTGATGGGATTTATTAGAATTTATTTTAATCCTCCAGTTTTGACACCATTCTTCAACGCTTGTGATGTGTGATTGAAGAGTTTGGGATGCAATGGTTGGGTCATTATTAACGGATAGGACACATGTATCATCGGAATACATGGTAATAACAGTGTTAGGATGGGTTGGGATGTCAGCTGTATAAACTGTGTAAAGGATAGGACCAAGGATACTACCTTGAGGAACTCCGGCAGATTGAGAAAAGAGGGATGAATAGGTATTATTGTGATTTACTTTGAAGTGCCTATCAGTAAGATAGGAACTGATGATAAGAAAATATGTCGGAGGAAGGAATTTACGGAGTTTGTAAAGCAATCCCGGATGCCAGACTCGATCAAACGCCTGTTCAACGTCGAGAAAAACTCCAGTGCAATACATTCCGCGCTCCAATGCAGAGGAGACGACGTCTACCACACGATGACATTGCTGGATAGTGGAATGGGATGTGCGGAATCCAAATTGGTGATCAGGGATTATGTGGTTAGAATCTAGGATGGGATACAGGCGTTTTAAGATGAGCTTCTCCAGGATTTTGCCCATGATGGGTAAAAGAGAGATAGGACGGTAAGTGGATGGGTATTCTTGTGGCTTTTCTATTCAATGTACAGATAAAACCTTTATTTTATTTATACAGATGTTCTTTAACCTATAAACATATGTTTATTATTAACACTTATTATCAACATTAGCCGAGATCTTTAGACAAAGTACTCAAGAATTCATAACTTTGGTTCTACTCAATATTTTGTTTTCATTTAAAGCCGATGTTTTAAGTCAAGCAAACCTTAATATAATGTCAACATTTTAAAAGTCTACAATTAGCCATTGCTGAGCTTTTTCCTGACAAAATTTCGTTGCAATCTGGACATACAGACAGACAAACAATTTTTTAAAAGTAGATTTGGTGTCTGCAATGTATGAAACGGAAAGACATCATAAAACGGGTTGATTCTATTCATACACATACAGACAAAATCTTTATTTTACTTATATAGATAAATTTCTGTTCCTGATTGCAATATTGTCCCTATCTCTATCTGAAACAGCAAGCAGATGAGCAACTGTAGGAGAGGGGAATGGCCGGGATTTTAAGAGGGGGTGACATCTGGCTTCCTGTGGGGGTAACCCAGGTAAACGTTCCCTCCGCCTTCAGTCTGCTCGTGATCTTGTTAGAGTGTAGTGGTGTCCTCAATCCTTGGACTGTTCAGATATAAAGGTGGGTTTTATATTTTTTCACGTCTAGTTATTTAGTAAAATATTCGTCTAGTTTATTTTTGTGATCCTTTCTGTAAACTGTAAAATGTATGCCATTACACTTAGTATACTTTTAATGACAATATTAATTCTGCTTAACGTAACTTTCATACAACGCAACAAGTTAATTAATATATAAACAAATATTAATGTCAATATATTTTAATACTAATGTTAATTACGAGAACCTTGAATCTCGAATTCTTTGATAAATTTTTCTCATCTCTTTAGAAAAACTCGTTATAATTCACATAAATAGAATATAATTCCAATATAATCTACCTTTATTCTCATAAAGTTCTTATCATAGTGAAATAAACTAATAATTTATTTCTAAAACTTGAATAATTATTTAAATCATGATCTATATTAATTTTAAAACGAAATTTTTACTCTGTTTTATAATTATATATTATCAAAGAACAGTATTTATTTTTTCTATGAATATGAATTTACAGAAAATTAATATATATATACATAAACACAACATAAAATATATAGATAACTCATTACTTTTATTAAAAAGTATCTAATCAGAGGTGCCCAGAGGGAGTTTCCTAGTACAACTTAGGCCATAAAATTTGTTTAGGGTTTGTTTAGCACATTTTGACAGGGTTTTGATTTTTTTAGGATTGAGGGGAGAGGGGAGGATACATTATGACGAGGTTATATATTTTCAGAGTGAAAAGTTTCAAACCTACGTACAAGGGGAAAAATATGGAACAGATTTTTTTACACAGCAATTACAATGTAATTGTATGATTTACAATTTTTCTAATCACTTTCGCTTCCATTGTTTTTAAGAGCAATACAATTTCTTGGGAAGGCCAGGGGAAGCCATCCACTATGGGATGAAAGGGCACCTCTATAGCAACTTAATTATTACTATCAGCTGCTTAATATATTTAATCAGAAACGTTTTATACTATTTTAATTGTCGAAATGAGGTAGATTACTTTTACCATTATCTGAAAACTTAAAAAAATTATCTTACGATTTAACATGGATCATTTTTATTTTCCTTAGAGTTTTTAAGGCTAATAAGTTTTTGAAAAATATCGTCATTCTGAAATATTCGAAATAATATTCGAGTTTTCAAGTATTATTCCTTTAATAAAGTATTATTATTATAATTATTTTGATCTTAAATTAATTCAAAATATTATTGAGCTTTGTGAGGATAGAAACTATGGTTGTCAGACAATTTACTGATACAATCAGCCCTAAAAGATAGGACTGACATTAGTGAGGGGAAAAAAGTAGTCAGTTGGAACCCAAAGCCTTCCAAGGTTATTGGGTGGTTGAAAATCAGGAGCCTGTACTACTGCTCACACCTTGAGCCCTAGATGGGCTATTGCCCAAAACTTTATACAACAAAATAAAAAGTTTATAAAAATATACATGAACAAGAAATTTCCAATTTTTTTAAAAATTATAATGATGACATTAGTTTTTACACTTTTTAAGAGTTATAATTTAAATTATTCAAGATTTAGTTAAGGAATGTAATATTTATTTCCCATGATTCACTCATATTATTCTGACAATTAAAAATTAGTATATGACACTGTGATCTTGGAAAATCACAATCAAAATTTTAAATATAATAGACATTTTGCCTGATTATTATTATTATGTATATAGGAAGTTATAATAATCGAAACAAATATTGGTTGATTTAATAAAAAAGACATTTTCCTGTATATTCCTGTAAGAGTCCTCATTTGACAAGCAGGAGAGTTAGCCATCAGTTAGCCTGACTCAGTTAGCCTCCATCAGTTAGCCTGATGAAGGTCTGATAAAAGACTGAAACTGGTTGTGCAAAAGTGAAAAATAAAGAAATATACAGGAAGAAAACGTATTTTTTATTAAATTAAATTTCAATCATGTAACATCACGCCACAATTAAAGAAATATTGGTAAATAAATCACCAAAAATTTCATTAAAATTTGCTGAATCACAATAGAAACATTTACATTTCTCATCAGTATTTTGTGTTCCATTACAAAGATTTTTGACATATCCATTTGAATTTTTTAACTGTTAAACCTGTTTATTAGTAACTTTATAATTATAATATATTTCAATCTGAGCGTTACTCAAAAGTTCTGGCTTTCTTGGTAGTGAGGTTTGAAATAGATATATTAATATTACTGGTTTGTACAAAGATACTTTAAATGAATATACAAATTTCTTATTTTCCACTTTTATTCTAATAATTGTCGATTTCTGTGTTGTTTAAAAAATTCATTATAAACATTCCCAACTTCTGAAAAAAATTTAAAAAGTCTTTGGCAAAACTTTGAAATACAGGTGTTGCTGTCAAATCTTTTGGTTTTATTTTTAAAGTAAGAGTTCAGAAAGAATTAGAGTGATAGGTAATTTAATTTGAAACCTGATTTTTATTGCTGTCTTTGTTGAATCTTGGCATACTTCAATATGGTAACCATTGTGAAGGATATAAAAAAGACCCACAATGTGCAGGGAGCATTTTGTGCTATGCAGGAAGCTCTTTAGAGGACATTGAAACTGAGAAAATAATGAGCAGGATACTGATTCTACAATAATTCCCTATTCATGCAATTAATTGTTGCCAGTTTCTAGTTGTTTCCAATCGCATTATGCTTATAAAAATGCTCAATACATTACATATCTAATGAAATTTCTAGTTATTATGAACCATTCTTTATTTTTTTCATTTAAGAAAAAAAACATATTTGAGATATTAGTTAGGAATATAATCACAGAAGATAAATATGTATTTAGGGTAAAGCTTCCTTTCATGTCTGCCTACATCTTGGCCTAATTTTCAGGCCTTCATCAAGGCTAGGCAAAACAAGATAACAACCAATATAAAATATGAGATAAGATATATGAAAAAAAAAAAAAATTAAATGAGGTATGAACATTTTTATATATGAATCATGAAAAATTACCATTCAATTACAGAGAAATGAATGAAAGAATTTCTCTTAATATAAATATAAGAATTTCTTTAATATAATACAACAAAATGAAGAGAAGAATAGTTGGAGTGGTCAGTCAAAAAAGAAGGCAAAAATAAATGATAATATTTATTTTTATATCATTTATTTATCATTATTTTTGCCTTCTTTTTTGACTGACCACCCCAACTATTCTTCTCTTCATTATCCACAACAGTCAACCATTTACCAATTATGAATACAATACAATATTTGAGTAAACATAACAAAATAAAATTTACAAAAATGTAACACTAAAATAGAAAATAAGATGTTGGAATAATATAACTTAGTATCATGTGGAAACATAAAGAAGAATGAAATTTCAAGAACACAATCTGCAACTTAGTCCTTAACATTAGTCGATTAAAATAAATTGAAATTGATTTGTATTTTTCTTTTCTTTGATTTTATCTTCCAACCAATGTGCTGAATTAATTCTATGAACAACAATATCTACACCAGTTAAAACTGCATATATATGTATATGTATATATATGTATATATATATATATATATATATATATATATATATATATATATTATATATATATATATATATATATATATATATATATATATGTGTGTGTATATATATATATATATATATATATGTGTATATATATATATATATATATATATATATATATATATTATATATATATATATATATATATATATATATATATATATATTTATAATTTTATTTTTATGAAGAATATTTATCAAGAAATATTGTACAAAAAATCTTAACAATTACCATTGTTGTGGTAATTGTTTTAATATATATCTATCACTACTTAACATTTGTTTATGTAGTATACTGTTTTTGTATTTTTTTTTTTTAATGCACAGTTCAATTTAAATTATCAGAAATGTTGGAACTTTGAAGTTTTTTTAGCAAAATCTAGTTTTTAACAAATAAACAATTTTCGTTTTTGTGTATTTTATTAAAGTTCAGTATTACAGACAAAGTCATCAAATCTTGCATCTGACAGACTGTTACATACAAATTTCATCACATAGTATATGGATGTCCTAACAGATGTATTGTTAATCTTTTATTATTTAAATTCCTCGTAGACGTCATTCGATTTCATAAAAGAAAATTCTACTTACGTCTACTTTGAGGGATGATAATTTAGAACTCAATATACCTCACCAGATTAGTTATATTCAAACCAAGTTAGTATATGATTAATTATTAGAAAATACAATAATTGATGTTCTTGTATAACAAGTTAATAAAATTTATTTCATTTATGTGTATTTGGATTTGTATATATTTTTTTTTACATAATAGTAATTCCAACGTCCTCAATATGTACATAAAAGAAAATGTATAAACAGAAGTATAATTATTTTTTCTTATTTAAAAATTATTAAAATATAAAAGTGGTGTCAATATTAATATATTATCCATGACTCAATATTTTCAAATTCTCAAACATTTCTAGCAGGCAACACTGTTTTGTTAAGTATTGATTTTCTCTCATTACTCCCTCATAGCTTCTGGAAGCTGATAATTTTTAAACCCCTTTATCAGTGCTAATACTGAATGTTTTTTATTTCAGGTAAAAATGCAGACTGAACTATTAACAAGTCCTAATTACACTCACTGGTATCCAGCAGGAGATATGGAACCTAATATTCCAGAAGGTGAGCAGATATTTATTTTCATTTATTTATGATTTATACTTACTAGTCATCAGCCGGACTCGAACCCGGGACCTTGAGCACTGGAAGTCAGTGCTCACACACTGAGCTACCCCGCTCCCTATTACAGTACTTCCTCACATTGTACTGAACCCAAGACCCTTCATGGATTGCTAGTGGTAGAAGTAAAGATAAGTATGATTTATAGTTGCTAATTTACTGAATTTTGAACCTTGTGACAATTTTATTTGTTAATAAGCTATTGTCAAATAAAGATATAAAATATGAAAAATTATAAGTGCAAAACTTGAGAAAGCTGTTACACTAATATAAAAACAATTATGTATACAACCATGAAATATATGAGCACTGTAGAGGATTATATTTTCGACTGCATATACAAATGGAATTGCCATATTTTATGTTCATTGCTAGAGATATTGGCAATGCATTGAATGAACCATAAATGTTATGATTGTTAGATTTAGGTTTGAATCCTTATTGAAGAAATTAAATATTAAAGTTTTGAAACATGTACTAATTTTTCGTCTGTAATCCATTATTCTTCATTTTCATCAAAATAAAATATAGAAAAGTTAACAAACATAATTCTCTTTCCTTGTTTTTACCAAGTATGAAACAAAACATAAACTTCACATTTTTAAAATTCACATTTAATATTTAATGCTTCAATTCTTTATTATTTATAACTTAACTCAGCGTGGTTTCATGTGAGCAATGTATACAGTAGTATATTTCTTATGTATCAAATTTTATGAAAATTTATTCTGCAGTACCTATATTTATAATGAATTTTGTAAAATTCAGTAAGTTTCATAGTCTTCCCAAAGAAATAATTGGAAGACAATTTTTAAATTAAAACTAATGGAATAAACTTTATTTTATATTTAATAGTGACCTATTCAATGAGAATGGCAGAAAGCTGTTTTCAGTATTTATTTAGGATGCTGTTGAGTTCAGAGTGGCCATCCCCTCAAGATCGATGGCATATGAATCTACAACCCTCCTCCCACTACTCCCCCAAGAAATTGTATTACTCATACACTTCTTAAAAACATGCAACAAAATTAGAATTAGAAAAATCATAGATCTTATACAATTAAACTTAGCTGCTATGCTTTTTCCCTTGTCACCTGGATTGAAACTTATCATACCAAAAATTCATAACACCATAGAAATTTGTCCCTTCCCCCTCTCTCCTTAAACATTCAAAACCACATAAAAATTTTGATGGCACAACTTGCACCATGAGACCCCCTTCTGGCTACTCCTGACTTCTTAATTCTCATTCAAATTCCAATATTCAGAGGTCATGCAAGCCAGGTTTTAAAATTATAGGTATTTTAACTAACAGGATCTGGAAAAATCTTTAAAAAAATAACAAAGGAAACCCTTGGTTATATCAATAAAACACTTCATTGAGGCTTATTCCTACCAACAGTCGATATATAAGGATTGAAGATATTATTCTTACACATGTCTGTTGTGTCTTTATTTATCATTTTTGGTCGGCTCAACCAATTGGAAGATTATGTTAAATTGGAAATAATAGTAATTGTAAAAAGTTCTATCCTCTCTTAAATGAATTGTAAATATAAAGAACAAAATGTGTATATAAACATGAATAAATTAGATGATAATGAGGATGGAAAAAACAATAATATATGAAAGATGAAAAAATAAGGTGACCATGATGATGAGGTTAATACCTCGAACTATTTATTAATACGAAGTAGTAGTAGTGAGATGGAGATAAATTTCAGTGGATATGATTAATTTTGTTTACAATTATTTTTAATAGTATCTCATGGAGAAAAGTTAACCTAATTTTTAGTAACAGTTTTAATCATTTGTATATTTTTATGCCTTCTAAACAAGAATATAATAGAAGTTATTCTTACAGATCCTAGATACTGGACAAGGAATGATGTCGCAACTTGGCTTCATCACATGGGGACTATTCATCAATTGCCGGCAATCCCTACCGATAGGTTCATTATGAATGGAAAAGCTCTGTGCCTGATGACTGTGACCATGTTCTTGGATAGGGTTCCTCTCGGCGGAAAATTGCTTTATAAGGACTTCCAGCTTCGTCTTGCTCGTGCTATGTACAATGCTGAATTATACCAAAGCTGAACTCGTAATTAATTAGCCAAGTATTATCTAATCAAAATAAAGATGTGACCAGTACAGCTGGCTATAATCTGTGGAGACTGGACTCACATACCCCAAAATGTCTAATAATCATTCGTTATTTAGTTTTCGGTGGTGACTAAATAGATTATTATTTCTAATGGTATTATATCTTTTCTTTAACACCTGAAATGGTTGGTTTTTTGTTTAAAAGGTCACCCTTTGAGGAGTTCAATAAAAAAGAACTTGTTTTTGCACGGTTTTGTAATCCTTTAAAGTTAATAGGGATTAGTATATTATTTAAATCTTAAGTATAATAAAACAATATGTACTACCTGTATATTTATTATATAATTTAAAATGTATCCAAAGATGTTTATATTGAAATTTTATTATTACAATTGGGATGTAAATTACTGTTGTGTTTTCCCTTATGTACATAATGTATATGTTTTTTTCAAAAATTCTTATTTAATTAAATAAGAACTTATTTAAATATGAATTAAATATTTATACTAAAAACTTTTTTTTAAAATACTATTTAATTTTCCATTATTCCCTATCCTTTTCCCAAATAAATACTCTATCTTTATAATAATAGTTTAACTATTTGGGATGGATTTATTATTCACAAATTAATTATAAATAAAAATGTTATCTTTAATATTCTTCTGACTTATGGCTAGATGACTTATTTTTATTTCATTATAGATATAGTGCAAAAAAAGTTGACTTTTTATATATTTTATGAGTAAGCATCCCAATCAATAAAATAAAAACTAATTCGAACTCCAAATAATTATACACTGTTGTATGTACTAGTAAATTAGAAATTACATAAGCCTGATTTGAACAAAAATAGCCCAAGGTTATTATTTGAACATATAATATATAAACATATTTGACAAAAAAAAATCTATTATTTTCATTTCATGCATTTGCATTAGCTGCTGTTCATATTTCAACATTCAATTCAGTTAAGTTTATATTCTGTCACTTAAAAAAAAGATTTTTCTTCATCAACTTAAATTAATATTGCCAACAATTTGTATATACTCAGAACAATTATGTTATATTTTAATAATCATGTTTTAGTTGTACTTAAATATAACCACTTTTATTATTAAGTATTAATAATGATTTAAAGAAAGCAGAATTTCACTTTAAAAATAAAAATATATATAATTAAGGCATATTGGTCAAAACTGCGAATTGCAATAATGATCTTAGACCATTATAATATAATTACAAGTAAATAAAATTCTTTCCTAATCATTAAAGTAAAGTACAACCCTACAACCTACTAGGTTTGAACACAATATTTACTTAGTTTATGTAGACCTAACTTCTTAAAAACAAAAGGAAAGGTGTGTAAAAATCTATCCCAATAAAACATAATATCACAGGATGGTATAAATAAATTATTTTTAATATAATACATTCCAAATTTTAAAAAGATATGCCACTGTTAATAGTTCTTTATTTTAAAAAAACTTTTTTTAAAATTAAAATTTTACACTCAATGAAAAAAAAAATTAACACAGTATATTGTTAATATGCATATATTTTAATTGATTTGAAAAAAAAAAGTGGTCTGTTTTCTATTATTCTCAAGTTTCCAATAATCCTCGAAATAACAGAAAATAATATAACTGTGTTGCCTTATTTTGCAGTGCAATATTGTATTTCTACCAAATGACTGTTTCTCTTCTTCTTTGTACCTTAGAATTAGGTGATGATTAATTGTCTGGGTAATTTTTAAATGTATTTTTGACATCTGCTATTTTTCTACCTTTCATTATATAGAAAATGCATTTTCTGATGGTGTACCATGTAAACTGATATTCCGCGATATCTGAGATAATATTGTTCTGCATTTGGAACTGCCTAATTTTATTGGTCACTCTTCACAGATATGTTGTCTCCAATATCAAAATTCTTTGCTAGAATGTGTATCTAAAATTGTCCAGCTTTTTTATAAGGTAAGATACAACTTTTTTTTTAAAATTTACTAATTGGTATTGTTTTTCTTATCATGTAACAGATATTTAAACTTAAATCAGAGATGGGCAAATGCTACCATGGGTACCGAATACCAAGTATTTTACTCAAATTGAATCATTATTGGTAATTCAATCACTACTAGAGTTTATTGTTTGACATCAACTGAACTAGTAATTAAATTATTCAGTACTCAAAAAAGATCAGTATTTGTGTAAAATACTTGTTACTTAGTACTCAGAGTAGCATTTGCCCATCTCTGATTAAATTTTTTTTTTTTTTTTGTTTATTGATAAAGATTACAATCTGTATCAATAAAGGACATTTATTGAGATTGTTTTCCGAGAGCACATTCACACCATATTTACAAATTAAAAAAAAAATAAGCTAACTTCAAATAATATAAACCTACAAAAGAACAAAATAAAATATCATAGTGAAGGAAGAAAATATAAATAATAGTAATAATAGAATGAAAATAAATGAATAAAATAGAATTAAAATTATCTTAAAAAAAAATATGTAATGAAAATAAACATCTTAGATGTAGGCATACCTATTTAAACAACAACTCGGAGTCCTTGTTGGACGGTAGAATGTTGGGAACAGAATCCGAATTGAAGGGTAGGGATTTTACAGGAGTCTATCATGGGTAGAATTCTTTTCAGGAGGATCTTTTAAAATTTTTTTGAAAGAATTGGGAGTAGGCTAATTGGTCTATAGGATGATGTATTATTGGGAGACTTGTCTGGTTTCAGGAAAAGTATGATGGTGAAATGTTTCCATAAGAGAGGGAAGTGGGTAGTTCGGAGGATACAATTGTATATATAGGTTAGAAATATGATGGCTTTGGATGGTAGTTGTCGTAGGATCTGCGGGGTTAGAAGGTCGTATCCAGGAGGGAGGTTATGTGAAGTCAAATAGTGATATCACATTTGTACTGATTATCTAATATCTAGTTTTCTGTGCTTATTTTCTTGTTTATTTCGTGTTTATTATCGTTCATTAATTTTCTAGTTAGTTTGTGTTATTTTTTTTATGTGTTTTGTTGTTATGGCTTAGTTTATTGTAAATATTATAAATAGCGAGGTTAGGAGTGGGACATTTCATTAACTTTCATACAGAGTAGATTCTTGTGAACTATTCTACAGTGGGTGGAAAGCACCATAGGAAGCCTTAGTGAAGATAGTTTATTTACTTGCTGTGTAGGAACAAATTTAGTAAGTATATAGAGTACTAGACTTTTACTTTTACCACTAGTGATTCCTGCTGTTCGGGCAAGCCCATTCTAATGAACATTTAAGACATTTAAAAGTGTATTAAGAGACCCCTTAAGGTAAATGAAAACAATTTCAGGTGAATATAGTACTTCATTTAGTTCTTTATTAGTTATAGTTTAAAAGTGGAAGATTATAAATTGCAGATAACGTTATCTCAGTTATAATAAACCCTATGGTCAATATCGAGATGGAGGGGGTACAAAAGGAAGGAAATCTCTCAAGAGCAGTGGCAAAACGACCAAGGAGGGGCTCTTCTCATTTACCAGAGGATTTGGAAGAGACTAGTACTAAAAGCAAAGTTTGCCAGGCTAAAGATATACAGGAGAGCATCTCAATGGCCATTGAAAATAATGGAAAAAAAATTAAGCTCTAGTGTCCGAGACCAGATTAATATCAAGGTACAATGCCTTGTTGATATTATTGAAAATCAGGAAAAGGAAAATGAACAAGTTGGAGTCTCGGCCATAGTTCAAAAGGCTATTTTGGACACGCTTTCGTCACAGAAGGTGCATGATGTATTGAAACAAATTTTAGTAGATAAATCTCCGCAAACATATACCGATACACTCACCACGTCAATTGGAGCACCACACCAAGAACCTAAACGTTCGAAGGAACCTCAGACACAAGCCGAAAAAAACATTAATCAGGCTGAACCCTCAGCTGCCTCTGAATCCTTCACGGTGGTGGTAAGTAAAAGGAAAAAGAAGAGAAACAACGCTACCAGCAAAAAAGAGCCTGATGCAAAGGAAAATCCAATCGACAAACAAGGTACAAAACCAAAATCAATAGCGGAAATAGTTAAATCATTGCCAGCTAAACCGACTCAAACGCCAAGACCTACATATGTCACTATCAGCGGAGTAGGCAAAACTCCGGTAGACATTATTAATGGCTTGCCATCGCCGGATGAAATAGGTGTGAAGGCGTCCATAGTCCGAGCGACGAAGGCAGGCTCTGTCTTGGTTCGCATGGATGATAGGTCCGAAGCCACCAAAGTAATCGGGTGGCAGGGGCTGCGTGAAAAAGGACTGCAAGCAAAACTTGCTATGAAGAAGAAGCCCAAGATGGAAGTAAAAGGTGTGCCTCAAAGCTGGACATCTATGCAGCTGTTGGAATTTCTATGGGGAAGAATATCTGAAAAATCGGGCGCCACACCACTTGTTCCTGATGACATTCGGCCTCTTTTCTCTTCAATAGCAAGGAATGGTTTTACTAAGAATTGGGTGATCGAAGTTCATCCAATGGTTAGATTTATACTCTTAGAGACAGCCAGCTTAGATGGAGGATGGTGGTCGATGTCCTTTAAAGTGTGAAGGACGTAAATGTGAAGGAAGTAAATGTCCTACATCGACGCTCCACGGTGCACTAAGTGTCAGGGCTACGGTCATACTAAAGCAACTTGCCCAGTAGATGGCGTAGTCTGTATCTGGTGTGCAACTATTGGCCACATGGTTAAGGACTGCCCCCCAAAAAAAGAGTTGACTGGTCCGACCTGTATAAACTGCGAGCGGGCCAATGTCCCATCTATCCAACGGAAGCATAAGGCAGGCAGTCGTGAATGCCCTGTGCACTTAAAGTGGGCCAAGGAGGTGGCAAAAAAGACTTTTTATGAATAGAATCACCATCCTCCAACTGAATATGGGCCGCCGACGCATCGTGGTAGATGAACTTCGAGCTCTCTCCCAGCGATTCGACGTCATGGCGGTCCAAGAACCATGCTGCCGTGGGAACATGGTCACGGGGTTCGGCCTCGCATCGAGGGTTATTGCCCTGAGCAGTGGAGAGAGGAGGCCTAGGGCTGCCATAGTGGTCAATAACCCAAACCTCGATGTGATGGATCTGAGGCAGTACACCACGCCGGATAATGTCGCTTGCTTCATCAGGTGGAGTAACGTTACTTTTACGCTTGTATCGGCTTACCTACCTGATGGAAATGATATTAACGAAGACATATCCGCCATGGAGATGATCACAGCTTGTTCTCGAAACGTGATCATATGCTCAGGTACCAACTCCTGGAACACGGTTTGGGGGTCCAATCGAACAAATAGAAGGGGTACTAAGCTCGGTGATTTCATATCTAGGAGTCAGCTAGTAGTAATTAACGATCCTTCTGCCATCCCTACATTCTCTAGTGCTAGGGGACAGAGTTGGATTGATGTGACTGTGGCATCACCGCAGCTGGCTAACCGCATCACCGATTGGGCCCTCGGATCTGATACGAGTTCCGACCATCACT